TGCTTAGAAGCGTCGCCATCCCCAAATTCCAAGCAGCGTAGTAACACAGCTCCTTCTGGTCAGGGATTTTCATTCCTTTCCCCCAGAGATCAAACTGATGAGACAAGTGTTTGCACCTGTCTCCTCTTCCTGGGTGTGGTCAGGGCCGGCTCCAGCATTTCTGCCGCCCCAAGCAACAAAAAAAAAAAGCCGCGATCGGCGGCGGCAGTTCAGCGGCAGGTCCTTCGCTCCTAGAGGGAGTGAGGGACCTGCCGCCCCTCTCCCGTGGCCGCCCCAAGCACCTGCTTGTTAAGCTGGTGCCTGGAGCCGGCCCTGACCACACCCAGGAAGAGGAGACAGGTGCAAACACTTGTCTCATCAGTTTGATCTCTGGGGGAAAGGAATGAAAATCCCTGACCAGAAGGAGCTGTGTTACTACGCTGCTTGGAATTTGGGGATGGCAACGTTTCTAAGCATAAGCAAGGGATCCCCAAGGTGCTTAGCTCGAGTTAGTGCTAAAGGACGTATTGGGTATGTCAATTAATAACCCGTGCTGGCCCATGCCAGCTGACTCAGGCATGCGGGGGTCTGGCTGTGGGGCTCCTTCATTGCAGGGTGGACTTCCAAGCCCGGGGTCTGGGACCCTGCGAGGTGGAAGGGTCCCAGAGCTCGGGTTGCAGCCTGAACCCAGAAGTCTACCCAGCAATGAAACATTCTTGTGAACCCAAGTCAGCTGGCACGGGCCAACCGCGGGTGTCTGATTGCAGTGCAGACACACCCACAGAACTTGCATATTACAACAGCTTCCATCACCTTCTGGAACCTAAGACTGTCACTCATTCACACGACGCAGGAGAGCCGTGCTGCCCACTTGATCCTAGTGGACAAAGCTGCGTGTGTGTGTTTACCTGTTTAAACTCGTAAATAACTCTCATTTCTTTTTCTTAGTTAATACATCTTCAATTAGTTTATTGTAAGATTGGCTACAAGCGTTGTCCTTGGTGAGAGATCCGAGATACAATTGACCTGGGGTAAGTGACTGGTCCTTTGGGACGGGGCATAACCTGAATATTGTTGTGAATTTTGGTGTAAGGGGCCATCTATCACAAAGGCAGGCTGGCCCGGGTGACAAGCTAGCCTGGGTGATCGGCATTCCCAAGGGGACTGTCTGTGACTCCATATTAAGGCTGATATAGCACCTGAGGAGTTCACACTTGGTGCTTGGTTGGTGAAATCTAAGTGCAGAACTCACAACCCGTTTGGGGTTTGTGCCCTGGGTTATAACAGTCTGTCCTGAGGCCGGGATTCACATTTGTGAGCCACTCCAGACAGTTTGACACCTATCACTGTGGATTCTGTCAATACTATTTTATTCCTCTTCTTTAGTATGTATGATTTTCTGGCATCTCCTTGAATGTCTGCAGCTTTGTATAGACCTGGCGTTTGGGGGCATTGGTGGAGGTGGTGGAGTCTCCTTCCTTGGAGGTTTTTAAGGCCCGGCTTGACAAAGCCCTGGCTGGGATGATTTAGCTGGGAATTGGTCCTGCTTTGAGCAGGGGGTTGGACTAGATGACCTCTTGAGGTCCCTTCCAACTCTGACATTCTATGATTCTATGATTGCAAAACTAGGCAGAGTTTGGGAATGTTTTACTTCCCTTCCCTGCTCTGCCTCTTCCCTGGCAAGGGACATGTGCGTTGCTTATACCAAATGACATGCTGCCTGGCTTTTTTTTCCATTAGATTGTTTTTCTTTCACACAAATACTCACCTCTCTGCTGCTTTTATTCACACTCTCTCCTCAGACATTTTGTTCTCTTCCAACCCTTTGCACGGTTGGTTGCCCTCATTCTTCAGAAACGTGTGCTTAAGGGAAAGCTCCTAAATCCATATTTAGGAATTTCGGTGGGAGCCACTCTTTTGAAAATGAGGCCACGCGTAGGCTTCAGAGCCTAAAACTAGAATCATATTTTTGACCATCTGAAGCTGGGTAAAGAGACAAAATACCAATATTATACTTATCATGGGAACCGTATGGTGCATTGTGGGTTTAGTAAGGCAGCAAGACATTCTGGGATGTTACTGGATTTGGGAAAGGACTGTTGGACTAGTCTACTAAGTTTCACTAGAGGTTCGTAGAATACAGTACCTTTCTTAAAGAAAGTGCATCCGGGGCTGTTCATAAATATATTTGGAAAGGAAGATGATGTCTGTCTGTATCTGTACGAGTTTTTTCATGAAGTTGATGGATTTCCACTCCATACGGCTAAATGCAGTGCCTTGCATAATGAAAGGTTTCAGAGTAGCAGCCGTGTTAGTCTGTATCCGCAAAAAGAACAGGAGTACTTGTGGCACTCTATATGCATCCGAAGAAGTGGGCTGTAGCCCACGAAAGCTT